GACAAATTCTTTGCTGGAAACGTCAAGCACTTGACACAAGTCTCACCGACTTCATCAGCTACGTCCTCTATGGGCTGGTCAAAGCTTTTGCCAGCAAGTTCGTTCCGCAATCGTTTCTGCTGACCACAGCGACGATGTGTGAACTTGAACACAAAAACATCCATTATCAGATCCCAAGCGCGCTATATAAGTATTAATGTTCAGCATTGAGGCGGATGAACCCAACTGATCTTTCAAAAACCCAATATCATCGTTGGTAAAAAGCAGCTGTCAATGGTTATTCAGTTTATAGACTGAACAATCATTCTAAAAACCCAAAAACACGTTGGTAAAAACAGAAGTGTGTTTGCTCTCGGACAGACGTGTCCAGATAGCAACAACATTCCACAAACCCAACAACAACGTTGGTAGAAGCAGAGCCTAAACGCATTTGCGATTTTGCTACCCTACAATCACAATATAGAGCATTCTAAGATGCGAAAAGACATCTTGAGTGTAAACAACCACCAACTCATGAATTCATTTTAAGACTTAGTCAACAATGTGAGTACCATTACTCTTGAAGTTCTTATGATCTATCAAAGAACCGAACGAGCTCAACTCATAAGAAAGGCAAGAAACAAAAGTCACATTCGTTATCATCCTACACTAGCTACAATGCAAGGTACACATAATCATAGCATGGATACAAAAATTTTCGTCGCTGTTTTTCAGCAGTGGTGCAGTCAGTTTCAGCAAGCGAAGCGCGAAATCTTAAAATTTTCATAAAACATGGAGTCTTAAAATCTCCAAACGCGGAAAATCATCTTCCACTACAGCATTGACGGCCCGAGCCAACAACATCACGCTAACAGTAACGTCATAACTTTGAACGGCAACATTGACATCCAATAATCTTTAACTCGATACTGTTATCACTAACACTACCGAGCTGGGGGGCTAACTGTTGGGGTCAGATTTCACCCGCTCAACGTTGAAGTCCAAAGTTATGCAACCGTAACGCATAGACATGAAATCGCGTTAATGTACAGATGTTATATGATTTTCCCAAGTCATTTTCTAACTAGAAGATGAATTATTTCTCCTTTCCTAAGTCTTCTCCATCGAAGAAGGGAGCCTTCTGAATCCTCTCTACTCGCAGCAGAAGTTAGAAGTGCAGAACCGGCGCCGTACTAGCAAGGTCACACTGCCAGCGATGTCACACTACCAGCGATGTCGCAGTGCCAGCAAGGTCACACTGCCAACGATGACACACTGCCAGCGAGGTCACATTGCCAGCGATGAGCAATGCCAACGAAGTGCAGTGCCAGCGAAGTGCAGTGCCAGCGATGTTACACTGCCAACGACGACACGGGCTACCGAAGACCTGCCAGAGTAACGACAAAGGCCAGAAGGTTCCCTTCGCTTAAGCCCGGTCTAATTGCGAAGCCCACTTTGACACAACCAACGTAAAGAAAAAGAAATCCGCAAAGACTTAGGAAAGTTAACATTATCTTTAGGAAATATGTCTAGCCGACTTAGAGAGCTAAATATATCAATGTACAAACCCTTGTAAAAGGTATTTGCAATTTTATCCACAAAAGCATATACAGCAATAACAAATGTTTCTCTTTGCTCATCGTTTTTTTGGTAGCTTAACCTAGAAATCTCTGTTTCCTCACGAAACCCTTACAAATCTAATTGTGCTAGTTTCGACTACCACAATGATAGTCTTAAAGATTTTTATCTCTATCCTTTGTTGAACAGAGTCTACAACTGTGAGATTGAGCTTCAGATTCCCGCTTAAGTTTCTGCAAATGAAAAGATTGAAAATTGTAGAATGAACAAAATGAAGAAGATATAGAGAAAGTGTGTGTATCAATAATAGAAGCTCACATGAATGTCAACAACTTCATATCAGCAAAAGAAGCTGGAATCTCTACTGATAAATCATTGTTTGATAAATCTCTGTACATCGAAGAGAGAAAGATTTCAAAGTTATTTGTTCTTCTCGCACTGCGATAAAACCATATGGAATACTTTATAGGTTATTAGTATTATAGTTTCGGATACTTACAACTCTTTCAACTTTGTTAGATTGGATATTTCAGGTGTTATGGTGCCACTCAATTCGCTCGCAGTCAAGTTCCTAATAATGTATAGGTTAGAACTTGTTAGAAGATATAAAGAACTGAAAATGATAGAATTTTTAATGATGAACAAAATCGAACATACAAAGATATAGTCATCGGTGATTCGGAGTCTGGATAACTGCAATTTAAACCTTCCTTAAAATAGAGGAGCACATACATCTCCTTGCCAACTTATCTTTCTGTTTAATCCATATGTATTGATGCACAGAAAATTTGATGCGTGCAGGGTTTAGATGCATATGCAAGTTTTAAATTTATAACCCTATGAA